TTTTTTTTTTTTTTTGGGGGGGGGGGGGCTCTAAAACCCCACAGGTACCCCATCCTACTCTCAATCTTCATGTTTTAGGGCAGTGGGAGCCAACCTTTTTGGCAGGCATGCCACAAGGTAAGTCCCACATCTTCAAGTGCCACATGGATCCCCTTCCCCTGCACAATGTGTTGCTCTACTTTCTTTTCTGTCTTGTCACTGCATTCCCTGCTCCCTTCCTGATCTGTTGTGTGCCACAACACAGGGGCTGCCTGTGCCATCTGCAGCACATGTACTATGTGTTGGCCACCTCTGTTTTAGGAAATATTGCACAGCACTAACATCAGAATTATCTGGGTCAGAAACCTGAAAGAGTAAGGAATCACACCATGTCATTCAAAGCTTTGTGTATACACACACACACATATATTTGTAGTAAATACATACAAATGTTTACAATTAAAACTACTCCGGTATATAACAATATACTCCTCTACCACCTGCCAGGGTGATGTTTTGTTGCCCTGACAAACCCAAATCTTATTTCATCTTTAGAAGAGTACAGAGCATGTACACATCTAGTACCACTTCAGCAGATTTTAGATCATGTTTCCAGGTCTGCAACAGGACCTGCCCTCCTGAGCCACTTGCACTCCAAGCAATCCTATTTTGCCTGGAAAAAAGCACAGAATTCTCCCAAATTCAGGAAATAGGAGAGGACCCCAACTACCTTCTGGTTAGGGCACTTGCCCAGGGAATGGTAGATACAGATTATAGTACTCTCACCCCACCTCTTCCCAGGTTTAACCCACCTCTTCCACTTCCCAGAACAGAGCCCAAGAACTAGGCCATGGGCTAGGCAGGGCTGAGAGCACCTTCTAAGCTCTCTGTTGAAGCCGGTCTACTAAGCAGGCAGGAGAGGAGGATGTGTGGGACCAAACGAACAAGCCAGAGCAAGTACTGCTCTGTGGCTCAGAGCAAAATCAGAACTGCTCTGATTTCTTGCCTCTGCTGCCGCCCCCATTAGTGTTTATCCAAAAACTAATGTAAACTTGGTAAATGGATGCAGGTAGAAAACCTAAAATCTGTTTAGATAGCACTAAGTTTCACTAAAGCACTTCCTTTTAGACAGCTAAGCAGGATTTAGATGCCTAAGAGGTGAAGTAAGATTTGGGCCACATAATCTACTCATACATTGCCTTAGCTATATTCATTAGGAATATTTCAAACAACTGCTCAGAAGCCAGATCCTCAGCTAAAGCAGCAAAGAAACAACCACCTCACAGAAGTTGTTTCAATTTGCACCAGAGGATCTACCCACAGGTTCCTTCACATACCAAATTAGTTTCATAGTAGTAAGTCTGTTCTAGCAAATTTGCCTCAACCCTGTTCAGCCAAGTAGGTTTGTCCACTTACATAGAAAGATTTGACACCCACCTTATACCACACAGGAGGAGGAAAGTTAGAAGTGATTACACATTTCAGGGGAGAAGGGGGAAGAAATTTTACTGAAGATATTTAATTCACCCCCAACAAAAAGCCTTTGCTCCACAAGGAATAGGCCCATTATTTTTAATATTCTGAGATATTTTAGTAAGAATCAGACCAACCTACTGCAGCATTTTCAAGCCAAACATTGCAGTAGTGAGAAACAAAAGGTAAAAACGACTAGACAAAGCAGAAATTATCCGAGGTGCATAAAATCCCTACAGACAACTGTCGTAAGTATTATTAAATCGATTCAAACAATTTAAAAAGTATCTGTTTAAATATCAAAGCAGGTTTAAGTGTATTGAAAAACCCACCATTTTAAAAATACATATTCTATGCATCATCTAAAAAAATATTTTCAGACTGCAGTTTTGCTTCCTTCAATTAGTATCACATTTGTTCACAGAAGTCTTGCACAAGGTTATGTTTTGAAACACTGAGACTGATCAACTGTCAAAGAAAAAAGCCAACCCCCCACACAGATTGTTTATGTACTTGAATCAAGCTTTAAAAAAATCATTAAAGTTGTATTTCTTAGAAATGGGTGTTTGTAAAACAAAACCAAACCAAACCCCAGAATATTTTTTAAATGGGCGGAGGGGAGGGATAAGAGTAATTAATATTCTGAACAGGAAGACTGACTCCGCCCTGCACTGTTAGCTGGCAGCAATGTCAGCAGTTTTTATGGGGTCATTTTAGCCATGTAAATATTACCAGCATTGACCATATCTTATTAAGAATAAGGTATAGCATATTAAAATGTGAACCTCTTATCTTGATACAAACTGTAACAATGTATTTCCAAAATATTCACTCTTGCATTAAATATTTATACAACAAATCTACAATTTATAATAAAAAGTGTTTAAACAGCAGTACCAAAAAAAAAAAAATCTACAGAGAAGTCAAACCTACGTTAGGGTAAAAGAATCTTTTTTATAAAGGGGATGCAAAATCCTCCCTACAGTGATTATAACACGCACAGGAATAAGCCCAGAGAAGTGCACAAAAAGTTACAATTCAATCATTCATTTGGAGTTGTGCAAAGTTTCTAACCTTTTTGGTAATCTGAGGTTTGTAATATCAAACAGGGAAGTGCTAGGAAAAGAAAGGTAAAAAGCTACACTAGAGGTGTCAAACATTTGGTCCACAGGCTGGATCCAGCCTGGAGAGCTGTCATTTGGTCTGCAAATTCAGGTGCAGGGCCTATTGCCAAAATCTGGGATAGAGTGTTGTTGGGGACATATTTTGGTGGGGATGGTGGCAAGGGGAAGGAAGGGGGAGGGGAGGGAAGGGTCAGCTATGTTAATGCTCACTCTACTGTTAGGGTATTAATACTGTTAATGTTCCTTGAGGCTGCTCACCCTATTGTTACCGTGCTGCCACAGATGGGTCCAGATCTGGCCCATGAAGAACCCCGCAGACTGGATTTGGTTTAAGTAAGTTAGACACCTCTGACCTTCTGGCTGGACCAAAAAAGGGTTTCAGAGCCTCTCAGAGCTCAGGCATTGGAGGCTAACACCTTCAGACACAAAGGTTCTGTATTCAGACTCCACAGGCATTTATACACATGCTCTGAGAGTGGGGGGGGGCGGGAAGCACACTTTAATTAGAGCAGCTCCAAGAACTGCTCTAATTAAAGCACACAGAGTGTCGTGCATCAGCGCCCCCATGCTGAAAAATGGCAGCAGAGGTGCTTTAACTAAACCTTATTTGACGAGCTTTAGTTAAAGCGCCCACACCACCATTTTTCAGCATGGGGATATGCTGATATACATGATACTGGAGTCTGCTGGAGCATGGTAATTACTAGGTTCCAGCAGACTTGATTGAGTCTACTCTGACACTGTAATTACAATGCAACAAAGCAGCCCCACTGCACATGTATAGGCACCCCACATTGCCAACAGCCCACCCAGGGGTATGTCATTGAAAAAGACAGGACTGCATTTTCCATGTCCCACCAAGATAACAACATACACTGTTTTAAGCAAAGAACATCCCAATTTCAGTGGGACTTTTTCTTGCAGAAGGCATGGAGGATTGGGCCCAATAGGTTCAGAACATCCTGCTGGAATAACAACAGTCTCCCCATCATCTAACACTCATAAACTAACTACAATACACTACTCTCCTGTATCTACATTGGGCACTAAACTTTTCTAATCATGTCTGTGACATTTTCAACTAGTGTTTAAACAGCGCTTTGAAAAACTGTGATGTGCTAAGTGTCATAGTGTACAATTAACCTTCATTGCAACTCCAGGACAAAGTGCCAATGTGTCTCAGTCCCAACATGCACACAACAAAGTTCTTCATCCATCTGTTGGCCTGTTCAGGCTTTCTTCAATATGTACCACAGGTGATGATGATAGGCACAGCTGTTGCTCAGACACCAACCTCAAGGGTGAGGTTTCCAAAGGACCCTATTGGAGCTAGGTACACAACTCATCAAAAGCTGGGAACCCAACTCCCTTCAGCTCCTTTGGAGAATCTTAGCCCTTGACACAACTGCATATCATATCATTGCTTTAAAAGTTCTCTTAAAAATATATGGCACTCAGTGTCAAATTATACAACTTAATCCAGTGGAAATGCCATACTTCCAAGGCAAGACTGCAGAATGCATTCTCCAGCTCTGATTCCTTCTTCTAAATATACAACTGGTGAGAAGCAAGGGTGTCCATGAAAGGTCGTACAAGGTTGTCTGTTGAGAAGTAGAATACCAAGCCAAAGGTGATGGAGATGGGAAGAGCAGGTAATGCCTTCTTGAACACAGCCAGCAATAGAAGAGTCAAACATAAACCCTGCCAGAATGACAGGAACAGAAAACTAAGAAAGGTATATAGTAAGAAGCTTAGAAATATGTTTGCCATCGACACTACACAACAAGTGGATGATAAACTACGTTCTGCATAGAAACTAAATCTTGCCCGAGTTAGTGACATCACATCTTAATCTTTCCCCAACCCTGTTTACACATAAGTTGGTAACACGTTTTCCTCAGCAGCGTAGATCACAGGCATTCTCAGAGGAAAAACAATGCGAATGTACAAACAACACCAAAATAATTCGGATGAGCAAATTATTTCAAATCCTGGTTCTACACCTTTACGTAGCAATTACTGATTTGTTAGACAGAAATCATGGTGAGCTACAGACATAAGAAGCTTGACTTCCTATGCAGGTTTTAGCACATACCAACATCTATTTTAACATTTTTCCAGTTTTCCAGGTCTTTGAGTTGGGGGAGCAGGGGGAAGAGAGAAGGATGGGGAGCAGTACGGGATACAACTCCAAATATACTTGTTTCCCTCTGATAAATTTGCTTATTATAGGGCAGTGGTCACCAACCAGTCGACGTCAATTGACTGGTCAATTGTGGAACCGCTAACACTCAATCTTAGTAGACTGACACAGTAGATGCTGGGGTGCCAAAAAGTGATCTTCATCATAAAAAGGATGGAGACCACTGTTGTAGGGTAAACACTATTTATGGTGGTCTAGAAGGACAAGACCTCAATTTTTATTGAACATTGACCAGAGATGAAGTGGAAGCTCTTGCAGATTTTGGGAAGATGTCACCTGGATATACACCCAGTCACACTGTCAACTGAATTTCTCTCTTCAAAACAGATCATCATCAGTGAGAAAAACTTAACATTCCATTAACATTCATTTTCAAAAGCACTCAAGTGTAAACATAAGATGACGAGTTGTTTTCTTTTCCAAGAAAAACAAAGATAGCAGGGATGGCAACATTTTGAGCAGAATATTTCAGAAGTCTTGAGGGGTAAGTTTCTGAGAATAGCATCTCCATTGATTTGAAATCTAGGGAGAAAATGGTATGGTAGAAGGGAAGACCTATCATGGCAACAGGTTTGCCAAGCCATAAAGAGAGAAGAAATCAAAGATGAAAAGAAATCTAGAAGAAAGTGAAGGAAGCTCCAAGTTAATAACATATGGCTGCAGTGCTCATTTGATGTCCTCCTAATACAGTGTGGCAAAAATATCCCCCAAATTTCCATTATTAATATAGTGAATTGGAAATAGTTCACTCCCAATGGCTTTACCAGGATCTGCTTCAATTAACTTTGGGAAATTAAATAACCAAATCATAATTCAGTTTTCTGATGTAACTGCAAACTTAATCTGGAAAAAGTATCAAAATAAATCACTGCTTTAAAATGTATAGCCCATACCTTCTAAAAATAAAACCTATCTCTATCTCTGACTTGTGAGTAATATGTATTAAGGTTATATCAGACAACAAGAATGCACTTTTTGCAGAAAACAATTATTAAATCGAGGCTCTCTGACCACTGATTTAAATCAAATCTACCCTGAGGGGTGGCAAACAGTTGTTTTTTTGGGGGTTGTTTTTTTGGCAACTGTCAATCCTTCCGGATCATGGGGCATCTGTGAGAAGTCACCCAGACTTTTGATGCATATTCCTAGGCAGGAGTTTTTGGAGGAGTGGGGGCTGCTCAGATGGTGGCCAACATGTGGCACATGTACCACAAGTGTGTTTGTGTGGCATGTGTCAGATTGAAGCGGGGAGAGGGAGCACAGTGGCAGAGAGAGAGGAAGCAGGAAGCAGAGCAGCAGATCAGGCAGGTAGCACAGGGCAAAGAGCATAAAGCAGAACAGCAAATTGGGCAAGAGAAGGGGATCGGGGTGGCACACCTGCCAAAAAGCCTGCCCCCCACTGCAATAGAGTGTAAGGCTGAGAAGAAGTCGCTTTCAGCCAGGTCAGTGACAGCACTTCTTTCCCTCCAGCCAACTCTTGCAACCCAGAAGATTCTTCTCACTTCTCACACTCTTTCCAGACGCAAGGATTTGTTCATAGCTAGGGTGGGCTATGCACATACTGCCCACCCTTACCAGAACAACTCTGTGGATTTGTACCAGCCTGTCTTGCGCTTATGTTGATGGTCCATACCTGTTTTTCTGAGGACAGCTAGGCACCATGCCATAGGTCGAATAACCCTAATCCTGTGGTTCTCAACCCTTTTACACTTGAGGTGCCCCTCAAAAATGCTAGTTCCTAGTTTTCACTCATTTTTGAATGCAGAAAAATTACAGAGCAATCTGTCTGTTGCAAAGAACTCAGGAAGCCCACAAGAGGTCAGAAATGTTTAACTCCATGGATTCCCATTTGAAATCTCTAGGTTTATCTTGTGAATCATGTTTGCATACCTAATAGTGCTAACACTATGTGGCACTCTGTGGCATCTCTGAAAGGGTTTTAAGGCACCCCAGGGTACCAAAGCACCTTGGTTGAAAATCACTGCCCTAATCTAAGATCTCTCAGGAAGAATGAAGTTACACAGAGTATTTCAAACAGGCACATAGAGCAGAACCAATATACAGACACTTGCAATGCAGAGGACAGTCCAGAAACTGGCACGCAACACATCTGCAGGGTATTACAATTTGAAAAAAGACACCCCCACCCTAAGAAGAGACTAATGGGACCTTGTTTTTTCAGGTAGTATCCAAAAGGTCTGCTCCATCCCTGTTCTTTTTGTCCTCAATGCATAGCTAATTGCTTGAAATTCTAGGTTATATACTGAGAAGGATAAGAGCCTGAGTCCACCCTTTTAAGACTTGATCCTATGATAAGATGCAATCTAGCAATTTAGCCGTCAGACTTCATGTACCTAAACTATCACACCTTGCTAGTGTCCAAACCAGAGGCACGGCTGAGGGATACTAGACATAAAAGAACCATGCAGCTAATGCAATACTAAAACCAAAACACTCTCCAGTCTTCCTATCATTTCTTCCTTCTTCTAACAGTGTATCACTCCCTCCTTATACAGAGGTTGTCACTCTTTGCCTGGAAAGAGTATCACAAAGTAGAGTTAAATAAACCTGGCCTGTTGCTCTCTCAAGGAATTCAGCTCATATTTGCCCTCTTAGTTGGTCTGATATTTTGGGAAAGTCTGCTTCTATACATAGGCAGATAATGTCATCTTGCTACATCAGTATCACATCGGTGCTAATGTTACTTCTCCCCACTTTGAGATTTTATTTCTTGGTAACTCAGTAGTGTGAGATATTTTTAAACAAAATGTGCTTCATCTAAAAATGTGTTAAATCAGGAGAGGCAGGGTGAAATGCTACTGAAAGCTTCAGTGACCTAAATGCCAAACTTATCACTAACTAATTCAGGCAAGGAGGAAACCTTAGAGAAGTTATTTCAGATAATAAACATATACAAAAAGCTGCCAGATGTTTGGTTCTTTAAGATGAGTTACTTTGAAGCACTGGCTTGTCTCTACCACATCCCACATAGGACATTTATTGGTGCTATTAAGGGGTGCCTATACATGTGCTCCAACATATTCTAATTAGAACGCTCCAGTGTCTCTCACCGTCATGTGTATTCAGCATCCTGCATTTCAAAATAGTGGTGGGATCACTTTAACTAAAACTCATTGAATGAGCTTTAGTTAACGTGCCCCCGCTGCCATTTTGAAACATGGGACACTGAATACATGTGACACTGCAGCATTTTAATTAAAGCGGATGTCTAGAAGCCACTCTACTTAAAATGCTCTCCCCTCCAGCAGAACACATGTATAGACACCCAATGATTTTATGTGGGATGCTAGGATATAATCCTTCTCTTAGGAATTTACAGCTGATTTAAAAGAAAGAGGGGATAAATATCTAGTACAGAGAAACACGTATTTACTGAAGCTACAGAACTTAAATGTAGCTCATCAGCCAAATCACAGTGGTGGCCCTTTAAAGTACTCTAGCTTTACCTAAGTTAAAAAGGCCTACTATTGGCCCATTGCAGTATCTGTTTAAATCGGAGCCCAGACATTCCAAAGCAAAGGGATCTACCGTGCAATCCATCTCCTTGCTGTAGAGGGGATTCATTCTAAAATTCATGCTTTCAGTGTTAAATAGAGAAAGGTTCAACTACTGAGTGTGCAAAAAACTTGGAATTTGACTTGATAAGTGATTCACTTTACTATCAAAAGGCAACCAGCAGTTTAAGGACTGCTACTGCAACTGCATGAATCCCATCTCTGTTCCACTTCAAAGACAGCACTAACTATCCACCAAGTCCCTCACACCTGTCCCGCAACAAACAAAATTCCTGTGCGAGCTGTTCTACCCTGAACAAAGATAGCTGAATACCAACTCTGGCACTGACCAGGGGCAGGCAATCCCTGGCACACATACTACAGCATGGCACATGAAGGCATTCTGCTTGGCATATGCCCCTCAGGGCAGACAGAGGGGGAGCCCTGGCCCTTTTTCTGCTGCCTGCCTGGAGGTGTGTGTACACCTACATCCAGCAACAAACTGGGCTGCAGACCTAGGTGGAGCTGTTTGCAGCCTCTTGGCCACCTGCTGCAAGCAGCCTGGGCTCTGTGGTGGGCATGTGTGCCTCAAAGCAGATGGTGGGGAAGGGGCCAGGGTTGCACAGCCACAGCAAGGATTAGGCCCCCCTCCCAACTCTCCCACTGTTTGCCCCTTCCTGTCAACATCTTACAAGTCAAGGTTGTGGGTGTTTTTGGCACTCTGCCCAAAAATGCTGCTGACCCCTGGCATAGACAGACTTCTGGGCTGGGAAAGCTACAAAACAGCAAACACATACATCTAGCAGATGGAGCCAGAACAAATGGAAATACTGCTGGAAAAAGAGAGTGGCATATATAAACTCATGAGCAGGCATGGGAGAGGGTTTGCAACAGGGAACAATATTGCAGTGGACCCCAGAGAATGGATTATCTTATCTAATAGGTCTCTACTTTCATAAATGGAAGTGCCTGAAGATAGGCACACATACACCGTTTCAGTTAAAAAGCACAGTGCTTAACTAGGACTACTTCTTATCAAAGGACCTTGAAGTGTTTTACAAAGTGAGGTCAGTATCATTACTCTTCCCTATATGTAAAAAAGGAGAACTGAGATGCAAGATGCACTATAACTAGGTGCATCTTTCACTCAGTAAACTGTTGGCAAGCAAGCAGATCACTGGTAAGTGGAGTATCTGGTGGTGATCTTGAAACAGATCAAGCAGTGAGGCTGTAAGGGCCCAAAGCAAGGCTCTTCAGTGCAAACACCCAATATTTCAAAGAGCCAAGCATCTTGCAGCTCCCTTAAAATCCAGTCTTAAAATATGGCAACATTCCTTGAGTGGATGAAGAATGTTTAATAGAAGTTACTAGTCTCTGTTATTTCTAATGCTTCCACTCCCAGCCCTAGAACAAACCAGTCTTTTTCCTGTTAAAGAAATCCCACCAGTTTTAGATTACCTTGATCAGCTGCCAACATCCAGCAGTGTAACACCAAAGAGAAAATAATATGGAACTTTTACAGTTTTTACTTACTATGAGGATGGCTACAAAACAGGCCAGTGTTGTGTTCCAGTCTCCACTAGCAGTGGCAGCTGCTTTCCCTACAAGCACACTGTAAAATATGAAGTCTCCAAGGCCCAGCTTCACACCTCCTATTAAAAGCAAAAAAAACCTATGTCAGTTCCCTTGCTTTTACATCTATTGCTTTGTCCTCCTCTAGTGAAACTGGGTCATAGTTTCTATTCTTGACCAACACAACCCAAACCACCATTCTGACTACACCAAAGATCCATGTGGCACAGTTATCTGGGTTCTCTTCTGCTTAGATTAAGGACAATAAAGAAGAAAATATTTTAATAGATAGCCCTTTGTAAATGCTTAAAAACCCAGGACACGTCACTTTTAAAACCACCTAGAACAAACTGAAAGATACAGAGGTTCAATTTCAGGGAAGACTTTTTTTTGCAAGTCTCTTCCTCCTCTCTGTCCAACTAACAGCCAGCTCCATGGTTACAGTTGTTGAGTCAAAGCATGTGATGTCCAAATGTCAAACTTTTCCAAGCTCACCAGGCACCATTAGACACTAAACATTTATCCATTTTTAGAACGACCTTTAACTTCTTTTTGTGTCAATTTAACTGTTCTGGATTAGAGAGAGACAGTTAAAACATAAATAAGGCGCAAACCTTAATGCAGGAGGGTTGTATCATGATAAAGGTGCTAATATTAGTATAGCTTATATCTAGAGATGTAGTAAAATTTAAAACACATTATATCTGTATCCACACTAAGGGAGTTCCATGGATTAACAACAACTTGGTTCACCTGTTTCTAAACTGAGTGGTTTAGAGATGCTGGGATGAAAGCCATCCATAGAAGAGATCTGTCATTTAAGAACACCCCAGTTGTTCACCAGTTGATAGATCTACTCAGAGGAAAGTGCTACTGAACTTGAGGAAAAGTAAAATAATCTGCTTCATGCCATGTAGTATGGGAAGGAGTTTAAAAAGCTATTGTTGATGCACATTTGCCTTACTTTCCTCCTCCTCCAGCTCCTCTAACGAAGAAGCAGTTGGATGGGATGGAGCAGGATTCCTGGTCTCAGAAATTTCAGAGTCTGAGTGCGATGGGCTTTCATGATTCTCTCTCATATCTTCAGCTATGTCCCCACAAAAAATGAAACAAGAACACACACACACAAAATTAAGGAAGTTACATTAATAACTTGTTTTAAAAGCACAAGTGGCAAATTGTATGATGTTGCTTCCCCACAAAAGAGCAAAGAATGAGGAGGCAAAGAGCAGTGTTCGGTAGGACTGACTTAAATATGGATTCTCAGCGGCTTTGAGAAGCGTGCCTGGATTGTTATTTGAAACAACAGTGATGGTCATGCCAAAAAGTCCTACGGCGACACTCTAGGATTACAAAGGCCACACTAAGGCTTGTACAGAGATAAAATGCTGTCACTCTTGGGATGATGCTTAATCTGGCATCCAGAGAAGTCTAAAGGAATATTTTCATCAACTTTGACACTGCGGATCAGCCAGGCAAGCGTGCTGCCATCTGCACAGGCTGAACTGTTGCATTAAAAGTGAACACAGTGAATTTAGTTTGCAACAGGCCACAGTGTTCTTTCCCTAGGGTGATTCTAACTTGGTGTTTTAGCTACTTTTGAATTAGTTATATAACCTTACAAGTAAACCAAGTGAACTGTTATTTACATAAGACAAACTCCTCTTTTTAGCTCAGAACTCAGGTTTTTGCATTTTGCCTGGGGTGCACATGTCATTTTCCATGCAGCTTATTTTGCTTTTAAAACACCCAGCAAACCACTTTCTGAAGTAAAATGGCCTGACAAAGCCAAGATGAGAGCTGCTCTGCATGTGATGCATCATCTTAAGTGGTAGTTCCCATTTTTCATGGAACAACAAGAGCTTCCAGAGATCTGTCTGGCAATTTCTAGTAGATGTGCTACTGTCACACAAGCAACCGGGCAGACTAACCAAATAAGAACTGATACACAGAGCTTCCACTTAGGAACTGGAGATGGGCGACCAAGCAGTTTGCTTCTAATCTATGCCCTGTGCCAAAGCAGGATTGCTCTTTGTCATCTGTTAGCCTATGGACCAATTTAGTTTATTCTCAACATTATGAAGCCTTGAAGTAATATTATTACTAAAGTATATCCATTTAATAGAGAGGTATCATTGGTTTCCAAAATGCAAAAGGGTCAGTTTTTTTTTAAAGTTGGAGAAAACTCATTTACAGAGAGCCTCCCTATTCCTAAGAATGCTATATCAGAAATCATGTTTATTAATTCATTTTTAAAACTGTAGTTTTGCTTCAGTTTACAGCTCGAGTAAACTCTAATTATCCAGTCGCAATTGTACAAAGATCTAGAAGGCCTGCCCACTCCCTGAGCTACTTGCAAAATTTGTTTTAATTGCATTTAAAAAAACGTTAGCCAATACTTTTTATACAGAGTCTTATTATGAGCAATCCCTGTGGCACTCTGCTAATCTTAGCTGACAAATCAGGTAAAGGACTGAAAAAGTTAGCAAAGTGCTACTGCAGATCTATCTAGCATGCAACAAAAAACATAATTAAGGAGCTCATATTTGTTCTGCCACAAATTTGCTATTTGAAACATACATACACACATACCTCATTTTCATGAAACAGTCTATTTGAAGAGAACAAACCTGAATCCCATGTCTGCTGACTCAACCCCCTTGATGCTGTATCTGGCTTTGCCATTCCTACTGTCCACATCACAGCAGCTGTATGGAAGAGAAACAACATGTTCAGATAATCAAATAAGGCAGGGGTCCCATGATGCAGACAATTACATGCAATCACAGAATTAACGTGAGCATCAGAATATACTTGTACAAATGGAAAAATTAAGGTTGCTTAGACAACCTTAATATTCTTTTTCTATAGGTTGTGTTTTGAGTATTACTGCAATAGGTTGAAACACATTCCAAAATATATTCACTGAGGTCCACACCACATGCTAAATGTTACTTAAAGTGATAACACTGGTAAATCAGTTAGGACACCTGGTCCCAAGGAAATTTAAACTAAAATTTGTGAGCCCTATTGTAATTAGAGTCAGACTGCCAGTTAACTAGTTAGCCAACTCCTTTGTAAATGTCAATTTAGATACCCAGCATGCATTCAATACAGGATCCAAACATTAGTGAAGTATTAAGAGCAAGGAGCTAAGGAAATTCATGGTGATTAGCACAGTGTGGACACAAGTTCCAAGTACGACCTTAGAACATCAGCACTCAAATCTAGAAAAGCATACTCACAAGAATAGATTAATGCAGGAAATATTGGCTCATTTCTTTCCTGGGCAGTTTCTACTAGCATTCGTAATGGCCCCTTGGGACACAGCACAGCCATCAGATCTGTGATGATAAAATGGGTCAGTCTGTCTGATTTCCAAACACATGCTATTATGTATTTTCTGAATCCTTAATCCTTCTCTCACAGGCTGTTGTTCCCCTCAAAGTGGCATCTAAGGATATTTTCTGAATGATTTCCTGGGTGACAATTTTACATGCCATCTTGTAGCTAGTGTCTGCTTGAATATGCTGTTTACTGAAATACAGGCATACCTCGTTTTATTGCGCTTCGCTTTATTGCGCTTCGCAGATATTGCGTTTTTTACAAATTGAAGGTTTGTGGCAACCTTCATTGTTGTCTTATTTTAAGAAATTGCCACAGCCACCCCAACCTTCAGCAACCACCACCCTGATCAGTCAGCAGCCATCAACATCGAGGAAAGACCCTCCACCAGCAAAAAGATTACAACTCACTGAAGGCTCAGATAATGGTTAGCATTTTTTAGCAATAAAGTATTTTTTAATTAAGGTATGTACATTGTTTTTTTAGACATAATGCTATTTCACACTTAATAGACTACAGTATAGTGTAAACATAACTTTTATATGCACTGGGAAACCAAAAAATTCGTGTGACTCGCTTTATTGCGATATTCGCTTTATTGTGGTGGTCTGGAACCGAACCCGCAATATCTCCGAGGTATGCCTGTACAGTGAACTGTGGTTCAATGTCACAGTAAGGTTTTCCAGTGTACCAGCTAATGCTACGAAGTACCTACTGAGACAACCTTATTAATTTCCTTAAAAACGAGACCATATAATGTTACATAGGTACAGTATCAGATTAGAAAGGAAGTGCAAATATTTTTTTTTATCTCTGTTCTATTATCTACAGGTACACACACTTCTTATTCTGCATTCTACGCACATCATTGTTTTTGGTTTTTGTACATTTCCTTCCTGTGCAAGTCAGAGCTCTAAATCATATGGCTGCACCTGCTTTGTTCCTCTAGTTCTGCATGTACATCCCAGTCTTAACTTATGCCAGGATCTGAGATTTCCTGATAACAAGCAAATGAGCTCTACCTTATCACAAAGTTGTCAGTGATAAAGCCCAACTGCCCACAGTGGCTACCCATCACACCTAGTCACTGCCAACATCAGTAGCTAAGTATGTTCAATAAAGTGAAGAAATTAAGCAGGACGAATTAAGGAAAGACCATGCAAGAGTCACAAAAAGGCTTACCATAAATGGAGATGGCTCCTAGAATGACCCATGCTGACCACTCAGGTAAGTACTTAATAAAAACTAATGCCATCAGAGCACTGATCATAATGAGATAGGCCTGCTGGAGCTGGAGGGGGCCTTTCCAATGGATGCAAATCATCCCAACTGCTCCAAAATTCCAGATGACAAAGAAAAGAGTGGGGTAATCCATAGCCACGTTGTATGTCTTAAACACTTCACTGCAGGATAAAAACAAAGATTTAGACTGGGCAACAAGCTGGCAGCAAGACATTTTAATAGTGCTTACCAACTGAGTAGACCTCCAGCTTTCCTAAGAGCAAATAAAATCATTCTTGCTTCAAACACAAACTGACTGACCTAGGAGGAACACTGACAGAGCAGCAAGAATTATGCAAAGTAAGTCCCTCCATTCCTGGTGTCAGACTCCTCAGCAGTGTCACAGCTGACCACAGACTTGTTTACAGACTGCAGCGACCAGCTGGAAGGAGCCACAGTGCCACAAATACATTGACAAGCAGGAAACATCATCTCTGCTTCCCATCTCCACCATGATAGATTACAGTAAGCGGGCAACTGATTGCTACTTCCAACTCTCCACATTTTTATGGGAACAGAGTGGACCGCATATAAAACATAAAAGTGAAGAGCTGCCTTGATGGTAAAGGATCAGATTCCTCACTGATCGGAGGAAGAGTTCAAGACCAAGCTAAACAAATTAGGGTTTAGCAATATGTACAGGATTAAAGAAGAAAGAAGAATTGTGTTGTCCAAGATATTAAAAAAACACCCTCCCCAACATTTACAACTAACATACATTAGATATTAGACTTGCTTCAGCACTGAAAAAAGACACAATTTTGCTCTAAAATGCTCTCTCTAAAATTTTCAAGTCAAGGCCTTTGTCCATCAGAAAGTTTCCTTACATCTAGTTCTCAGATGCCACTAGTGCATCATTTTGTGAACTTCTCAGTACCCAATCAGCAAACTCCAGTGAAGGCATTCCTTCCAAATAGGGACCTTTTGGAGAAGGGGAAGTCAGAACTTCAGCAATTTGCATCAACAACTGGGATACTTGTTTTGATTTAGGTAGTAAGTGAACATTTGGGAGGAAAAAAACCCAGCAAGGATAATGGATCCAATATGCCTAATTCATTTATTAAAAACTGAGACTTACTTCAACAGTATTATATACCATACCAGAAAATGGAGCATAATATTTTGAGAAGACTTCACTGTCTTTAAAAGAAGATGTCACTATAATAATGTCTAAGTCATTGCTGGGAGATGGGGTGGGGAATGTTTTCTTGGTATAAATTAGTTTTAGCATATACAAAAAATTTTTCAAGGACTATTTGTTTAGTAAGTTACAAGAAGAGCTTGTGCTTACCCAAGATAGATGTAGGTGAAGAGGAACAATAGCATCAGAGATGAAAGAATCAGCCAGCCATGGATAAACTAGTCAATGGAGACACAAGATAGTAGTTGAAGGGGCTGGTTTTTCCCCTGCATTGCAGTGTTGTGTATACCAATAATGTTAGGAACCTCCACAGCCTTCTGTCCTTTGACAGTATTCCCCTCTGGACCTTCTCTGCAGCCTTACACATGCCTGCATTCTTGAAAGCAAGATAAGGTGGTCCCCGGAGGCTACCTACTAATCACCTCCTCCCTCCCCAAATAACTTGCATCCTGCTGTACTGGCAATCGATCCAGAAGGGAGCAAGAGAGGAAGCAGTTTGGTTTCATCCTCTCCACTACATTAAAACCTTTCTCAAAGTCATCAAAGCCTTTCTCTCCAGTTACAAGAGGGCTGTTGTTTGCTATTATCCTGCTCAATTGCTCTACTGCTTTCATTTACTGAACACTTCCTCCTTGGCTTTCACAGCCCACACATCTCAGACTGCTCTACTGTCCCTACACCTTAGTCAGTTCCTCTGAAGCCACCATAGTTTCTTAGGGTCCCACAGAGTTCTGCCTTTGATCCCACCGTGTTTAAGTGGTTAGACATACTAGCTTCCAGTCCAGCTACTAGTATTTCCAAAGTTATATCTAGCCCCAGCTTTTACCCTCCCTTCTTTCCAGATATGTAATCTCACATACATACCCCATGCTATAGCACTTGTAGTTTATAGAGGATTCACAGACATTAATTCATTTTAATAACAAGCTTGTGAGGTAGGCAGCTGAAAGCATTATCCCCACTTGGCAAGCAGATGAAGAAGCTTGCCCAAGACTAGATAGCAAGTCTAGGTCAGTTCCAGGATTAGAAGTCAGAAGTGCCTGACTTCCAGCCTGGTGCTGGCACCCCCCAGACAATGCTGGTTACCACATCTTGGCATGTATTCTTGTACAACCTATGAGAACTGGATTTGCCTTTCCCCTCAAACTATTCTCCTCTCCCCACCTCAACTCTTGTTCTTAGCCATGAAGACTAGAATAATTTTTCTTCTCGAAAATCTGGTCCCAGCTCTCTGAAGAGAGGAAAAAACTGAGCAGGCAGTGCATTATACCAAGGCATCTGCATTGGCTAATACAAATCACTCAGAACTGGATAGAAACCCTGAAATCTCTCTCAAAGCTGTAAGACTCAAGTCAAAATGGAAATTATGGCACAAAGTAGCAGACCATTACCTTATAAGGAAGAGCATGGTTGTGTGTCATAAAACACCCCCCCCAATTTTTTTTTATGAAATTAGATTCAAATCAACCTTAAGCCTAGGCAGAACATTCAAACAGCTCTATTACTGCAATTCTTTACATCTTTCCTGTGTTACTTTGCAGACTGACCACACTTCAGAATGAGCTATAAGAAAGGGAGATAAAGAAAATGTAGTCTCTGTTCAGTCTAGAACTTTATGCAACAGCTATTTAAGTTTCATTTTGTAGTACAGGGTATTGCACAAGAACAGAGAAGAGCTAAGGCTAGATGCATTCAGTTTTACACTAGCTGAAAAGCTAACTATGAACTTCCCAACAGTTAAAGACAACCTACCCACACACACACCACAAACAACAAATCAACCACAGTAAAACTTGGAAGTTATTTGTTAAAGAGATGACAAACTAGTCCTGTACTGGACTTTGGTACTATAACTTCTGAAAGTGGCTCCTCTAGAAGGAGAAGAGCTAATGCAATGCTTGTACTTCCCCACAGCAAACCAACTCTACTAGAACTAGCTTGCAGAAAATAGCTAAACCACTGCAGGCTTTGCCTAGCATAAATACTTTACCTTGTAACAACGATATTTATATAGTATAACTAGGAAGACTGTCATTACAACAATGACACTGATCATTATGAGGGTGTTCAGCACAGAGTTCAGGAGACGCTGGCCTACAGAAGGTGTGTCTTCACTGAAGGGAGTATATATCCTGTAGGGTAAAGCAGAAGTAGTGTAAGAGATGGTATAATAAGCAGTGGAACATGATACACCGTGTTAATACACTGCCACCCAGATACATTTTGTCTTTTAGCAAGCATGTCATGATGACTAACACAGCTAACTACATCTCTCTACCCTTGCTCTAAGCAAATGGATCAAAGACTTAAATGTCTTTAAGACTTTTAGTTTCACTTCAAGCCACTGTTCATTTTTGCTGCCTGTCTGAGGATCCTTCCAGTTCTTTATCTTTCTATGATATGGTTAAAGGTATACCACTCATTTATACTTTCCTCCATTTGGTACAGGGCCTCTCCCCTGATTTTGAGGCATTGTAGCATTTTGTTTCTTTTGGTTACATAGTACATACTAGATTAATGAAAAGACAACTTTGTTTTACTGATCTGCAACTGTTGGTGTCATGTGATACACTACTAAGTTGTATTGTTTTTAGTATCAGCACCATTAAGTTCAGCGTGGTTTTACATTATGCTTCATGCATTTGCATGTGTAATTCTTCACTAGATGTTGCAGCTTCACATATCTAATTTTTGGCAGCTTCTTTCTAAAGGAATTCAGATAATTGAGAATATACTACAGTCAAAGAAACCATTAGTCCCTGCCCTCTGACCATTTTAATTGCCCCCCATGTTTGTCTTCCAGCCCTAGAAATGTCCTCATTTATAGCTACTGTCTTGGTCAGGGAGGACCAGAAGGAACAATCAAGAAAGTCACCAAGAAACAAAAGTCTTTACCCATTTACCTGAAAGGACACACCACTTTTCAACTGTAGCCATCCCATGGCTCAAAGGACTGGGTATCCAACCCTTATTCCTTAGTTGGGAGCAACTTTACTATGAGTCTGGCCATATCAAAGGTTGAATTCTTTTTCAACACTATCCATACAATGGCCTAAAAACAGTGCCCTTTTCTACACTGATTCAGCAGACCTTGGATTTTTCATCTAGGGATGGTATGCACCCCACTTAACTCACAGTGTGCTGCCAAATTAAGAATAAGCTATGCATCCAGTTAAAGTAACAGCTTCAGCAAAGGGTACTGCTTCTCTGAACAACTGGAGCATGGATGCAATCTGCAGAACTGATTGGAGAAGTGGCACCCTTTGAAACAGAAGTGCAAGCCAGTAACCAGAGTACCTCTTTAGTCCCATGAAGTTATTTGCTTTGACTCCCCCACCCAAACAAGTTTAAAATCCCTTACTTTTGTCAAGCAGGGTAAGGAACCTAACCCCACAAAGTATCCAGTTTCTACTGCACAACACATGCACATTCATATTCTCTCATCTGGATTTAGCAAATTTAGTCTAATCCAAAAAGAGCAAGGGGTGCCTACAGACATGCTCATTCACATTCTATTAAAACAGGTCAGAGCAGACTTGACTAATCTGATCTGCACTCCAATTACAATGCTCCAGCATCACCTTACTGTCACATATACTAAGCCCCCATGCATTTCAACATGGCTGCAGGGGCACTTAATCTAAAGCTCATTCAACGACTTTTAGATAAAGTGCCCCTGCAGCCATTCTGAAATGTGTAGGGGCTTAATACATGTGACGGTGAGATATTTTAATTAGAGCAGCTGTCTGGGAACTGCTCTAATCAAAATCCACCCCCCCACACACACACACACCCCCCTGAGCACATATAGCACGTATAGGCAGCCAATATGTTCTTTGCTCATTTGAAGACAAATTTTAACAGAGCAGATAAAGGCTCTCCCTACCCACTGCAAAAGTTCTCCATGTACAAAAACAGCTACTCTAGGAACATGTTTGTAATGCCAGAGATCACATTCAGAGAGAAACCTACTTACAGCTGCCCATTTTTCTCTGTGTAGAAGCGCACTGACTTTATGGTGGCAACAACAACAATCATACAAAGTGTGACAGGCACAAAAAGCATGATCACATGTTTGGCTCCATATTTCAGAGTCAGTTCTTCCTCTTCGTTGTCCAACTGAACATCTCGCACCAGAAGTTCTGTGTCAGAATTTCCATGTGCAACATCATTAGAGCTACCACTGCTACCAGTGTACCTCTTCTGTTAAAAAAAAAACATGTATGAGACCTTTTATTTGCTGTGGAAAAAAATCCCTTGCTAGTTAACAATTCATAACAATACAGAACAGCATCCTATATTAGAACACCAGAAAAACTTAGGGTGAAATAAACATGTAGGCTACATGACTAAATAATATCATTACCATCACAACCAGATGGGCCCTGAACTGCACAAGGTGTTTTTAAAATCTCAAGAGCATTGCAAACACTTCAAGCATGGGTGTGTGATGTGCAATGTTTGTGCGGGGGGGGGGG